TATATATATATATATATATATATATATATATATATATATATATATATATATTATCTTACATATTAAATGTGGAATTTTAATTTAATAAAATGAAAATTACAATAAAATGACAAGTGAAAAATAAAAAATTTAAAAAATTTAGAAAATGACATGTGTCAAAATAAAGAAGAAGATGACATGTGGCAAAACAAACCTTCATTTATTAAGGAGGACATGTTATTTATTTATTTTTTAATGAAAACTTGAACTTAAAAATAGTTAAAGAAAAAAAAAAAACAATTGTTAAAACTATATTTAAATCTATATTATTATAACACCTTCTCATATAAACTTATTATCTTTAAGATATCACTAATAAAATTAATTGGTAAATAATACGATATGTCACCAAGTTTTATACTTAACTGGTGAACATTTTTTCAAATGAGTTTCTTATCACCTAACTATATTATTTCAAGAGGCATTTCTTGATAAATTCATCAAAAGACAACATTTTTTCACAAAATTGAGACGTCATGTGCGAAAATTATAACTATTTTTGTTTAGATTTTAGAAAATGAATAATGAATTTAGTCTAATTTTGTCTTTTTTATAAAAGAAAAAAATGCTCATCTTATCTTAATTCTTAATCTAATATAAAGCTCCTTACTCCTTATCTAGTTTTTTTTATTTCTTACAAAAAAATGCTTATCTAGTGTATTATTTCTTACAAATCCATGTTTATAGGGGAAGGTTTGGGTCGGGTGATACCCGTCCAAAACGCCGACCAAGTAATTCCACACGTTTATTTAAATGTATTAATTTTTCCACTATTTGTGTGGCCAATTTTCCGCGACTCGATGAAAAGAGGATCAAAATGAGTACATACTGCGCACGTTAGCTGATACCACCCTCTCCCTTTCCGCCACGTCACTCAACCATACAACGGATTTATCCAAAACAGTAGTCAGTTTATTAACGGCGCAAGTTATCGGAATTTGCTCTCTTCTCGTTTCTCGAAGCTCCGCCGTCGACAAGTCCACCGGAAAGTTTTGTTATACAATTAATTCGTCGAAATCTCGCTCAGATCTCAGTTAGAGTTGGTGATCAGGTGAATTATTTGTTCAATTTGATGAATTTATCGATTAATGTTCATATTCGTTTTTGTTCATTTTTTTTTGATTTGTTGTGCATAGTTGATAGAGCTCAATTATATTAATTCACTGAATCATGTCTCGTTTTCTGGAAGTGATTATTGTTATCGATAAATGTATTGTTATCTGTAATACTCTAGCAATTTTGGATGCACTAGTCTGTTTTTTTGTGGATTGTTAATGATTAATACTATAACTGTTTCAGATGTGAAAATTCTTATTAGTGTTTTAGGTTTATGATTTATTTATCTATCCCTTTGTTTGACATTTCATAGTGTGATAACGATATATTGAACTATGTATCTTGATTTGTCGAGTGACTGTAAATGTGTTGCTGTTGATGATACTGTATATGCTCAGAAGGAAGAGCTAAGCTGCTAAGGTCTTCAATTTGAATGCTGAATGGTTACTCTTCATTCTTCAACTTGAAATGGAAATTGTACTAGTCTTTTTTGCTTTTTTATCAAGTTTTATATCCTTATCTTTGGTTTTTACTAGTTTGGCTGCGAGTTCAGAGTGATATCTAATGGTAAAAGAGCAAACACTAATAGAAATTGCTAATTGTGTTAGACTTATCTGATTTTACAAACAAATACTGCACATGTAGCAATGTTGGTAATACCTTTTCTATTTAAATCTATACCAAATTTTACATCTGAAAAATAGCAGGAGTGACATTTTCAAGTTAAGGAGTATTCAGTTTCCCTAAAGTCAAATGTTCACGTGATAGGAAATATTTTCCCAAACAAATGCACCTGTTACCTGCTAATTTACATGTATTATACAGTATTCCATTAGTAACAGGGGTTTGGTCAATGTTCAATCTGGTATATTACTTTATAGAGCTCAATTTAGAGTTTAACTTGTTGGTGGCTTTGACAACGTTCTGATATATGCAGAACCCATATTTATTGTGCAGGATCTAAGTCTACATTCCATCTTGCTTTCTAGGATATTTCCTTTCTTTTTGTGTCTTCAATCTCTCAATAATGGCTACAACTGGTTCTTTGCTGTTTTCTCGGGAATTGGGGATCAATAGAAGTTCTGTATATAACAGCCGATCTAAGGTGCATGGTTTTATACTTTTATACATAGGTCATTTTGCTCATAACCAATTAGTTGATGGCCAAACATTAATAACAAACTAGAAAACTTCCAAGATTCCAGTTTCGCATAGTTCATCTTCTTTAACCCTTTTCTTTTTCTTTTTCTTTTCCTCCAGGGGAAGAGATATAAGGGACACACTCAAAATTTTGCTGCTGGTATTTCGTCCCATACCTCGGTATGTTACTTATGCTATCAGTGCTCAAGTTTGTAATTGTTCAGGTGTATTTTAGATATTTGACTAACAGTCAAACGCCTCCTCTAAACTAATTAATGTCTAGTCAAAGATGACATTTATTTTGGTATACTGATCATGATTAAGTCTGTTGCATATGTAGCTACAAGAGGCTTGGAGTGTACATCTTTTAACCTTACAGAAGTCAATAAAACCAACACCAACTAGGTGTAAAATTTTAGTTTGTCGATCTCTTTTCTCACCAAATGGAGGAAACCAGATTCCTTTATTAAAAACAGCTGCTACAGTATTAACAAGGTGATTTTTTTTCCCTTTATGTTTCCAATATCTAGTTCCTGACATATTCGATTAACTCTCTGGTGTTACATGTATGAATTGTTTGCATCAAATGCAGGTCATATGAAGCTTTTCATGGTCGGTCTCTTGTAGTGCAATTGATTCCAGCTGTTGGAGTTATTGCTTTTGCTGCATGGGGTCTTGGACCTCTAATGCGTGTCTGCAGGATCCTTTTTCTGCAGGTATATGTTCTTCTTAATGATGGGATGAGAAGGGCATTTATGTCTTTTGCATAGACAAGAGATTGGGAGCGAGTTCTTATCCCACCTTGTTTTACCTTTTGGGGTGGGACCAAACCTTGCAATTTTTGTCCCATTGACATCAGTCTCAGTCCTAGTACAATGCATGTCAAAACACAGTACAGCCTGTTTTGTTATGTCCTAAGTGGCTAATAGTTTGAAATTGTGATTACTTGATACAGAAGAGTGATAATACTTGGAACAAGAGTAAAGAATATCAAGTGATGACATCTTATGTTCAACCTTTGTTGCTGTGGGGTGGTGCAGTACTCATATGCAGGTGAAACTAACATCTTTCTAGAAGCTTTTAGTAGCTAAGATATTGTTACATTTAAAAAAAAAAAAAAATCTTCTGTATATTGTAATTTTAACAGTAATTGATATTCACAGAATCCTGGAACCAGTTATCTTACCTTCTGCATCAAGCCAAGCTGTGAAACAAAGGCTTTTGAATTTTGTACGTTCATTATCAACAGTATTGGCATTTGCATACTGCTTATCAAGGTAACAGTTGGAATGGAATGAGCTTTTGATTAATGATATCTAGATATCTTTTTCTTATGAAAAATAAAAACCCCTATCTATTGTTTGTTTTCCAAGTCATCTTTTGATGTTTAGATGATGCATTCTTTTGTTTTGGCAGCTTAATACAACAAACACAAAAATTCTTTGCGGAGAATAAAGATCCTAGTGATGCAAGAAATGTATGTCTCCATGACTCTAGTATATCTGAATTCATTGGAACTGTTATAAAATAGGGGCTAAATGCAAGAAATACAGAATCCTACTTTCATTTATTCGTTTTCTTAAGGCATTGTAATTTGATAAATTTACCCAATATAGCATCATACTTCCAATCTTTTTCTTATTAGGACATTATACATTGAAATGTCTATGCAGTTATAATAGTGAAAATTCCTTTGTATTTGGATGATGTTGCTATAGTTGGGTAGATTTTTCAAAGCACTGATTGAAATCGAATGCTATAGTTAAGAAATCATGAAAGTATGTTGATACTAGTTCTTGCTATTTCTTGAATCTAGCAGAGTTATTTCTTTTTTCTTTTACTTAAAACCATGATATAACTATTCTATTTTCTCTACATTTTAATGTACAGATGGGTTATGAATTTGCGGGAAAAGCTGTTTATTCTGCAGTGTGGGTTGCATCTATTTCATTATTCATGGAGTTGCTCGGTTTCTCTACTCAGAAGTGGGTGACAGCTGGAGGTCTCGGTACTGTATTGCTTACACTTGCAGGCCGTGAGGTACAACCACATTGTCTTTTTTTTATTATATTTTTTATTCAAGACTTGTTTTGCTGATAATGATTATTTGATTCAATTTTCATGTAGATATTTACTAATTTTCTTTCAAGTGTAATAATCCATGCAACAAGACCTTTCGTATTAAATGAATGGATTCAAACAAAAATCCAGGGGTATGAAGTCTCTGGTACAGTTGAGGTATGTATTTCCTGTATACTTTTAAAAACAAGCCAAAAATTTAGGTCCTGTGTCATCATTTTCCTGTAAGGTGGCGTTTGGTGTGCAGTAATAGAAGAGGGAATAAAATGGAGAATAATAATTTTTTATTTATCAATTTAATTTCGTTTAGTTTTCTAATTGTACATAACAAACAATATGTTTGAATGGCCCATTCCATTCCTTTTTAGTTACATTCAATCATATACCAAACAGGTCCTAAGTACTGTTTGGATAAATAAAATTTAAAATATGTTGGAGAAAAATGACAAGGCACACTTTGGAAAAATGAAGGAAAACATAAATAAGTTGATTATGAAAATAAAAATAAAAATTGGGACTTAATGAGGAAAGCCTCATTTTGCCTAACTCTATCTTTTAAGTCGCTCTTTGTGTATCAAGTGAAAAAGGAACACCCATCTATATAGCTTTCCAGATTAAGTTGTGTCCCCATTAAGTGTCATGAATCATGATCCAGTAGTTCATATATTTTTTTTGTGGGTTTATATAGCATGTGGGTTGGTGGTCCCCAACAGTGATTAGAGGTGATGATCGTGAAGCCATTCATATCCCAAATCATCAATTTACAGTGAATGTGGTGAGAAATTTAAGCCAAAAAACTCATTGGCGCATCAAGACTCACCTTGCTATCAGCCATTTGGATGTCAACAAAATTAACGTGAGTAATATTTTTTTGTAAAATGTAAATTGCAATATGCTCCATAGTTTTATTATGATTTATTTTGGGAGCAGAACATTGTGGCTGATATGCGCAAGGTTTTGGCCAAAAATCCTCAAGTGGAGCAGCAAAAGCTTCATAGGCGAGTGTTTTTGGATAATGTTGACCGTGAAAACCAGGCTCTTTTGGTAAGTGACGATCACTTCTCATCTCCCTAAGTTTAAATACAATAAATAGCAACCTACTTTCATTTCCTCCAGTTACAGCCTTGTGCTTTGAAATACCCAGTTATAGCAACAATTGGATGGATTTTTCAAAGTATAATGTCTTAAACATTAAGAAATGAAAGTAGGATGCTATAATACACATATAAATGATTTTGGGATGCCCAGATTAAATGCAATATTCCCCTTTTGGCGTAGTTTCAACCCATAACAATCTGTGCTGCGCGCACAATCTCATTTGCATTCATTTCTCAGATATTGCATTTATTCATAACAAGACGATTAAAAATCATTAGCCTTTGTTTTTGTTTGACAGATTATGATTTCTTGCTTTGTTAAAACATCACATTTTGAAGAATATCTTTGTGTCAAGGTAAGCGCCTGTTTCTTTTTTTTTTTCCTCCATAAAATGCTGTATGAACAAAGACTTTAATTTTTTGGATGGGAACGATAGTAAAATGACACAAGTGATTGGTGCAAATTGCCAAATAAAGCATATGACTCGTATCGTATGTTTCATTTTTTTTTTTTTTTGAAGCTTGGAGAGTGAAATGACTATTTTACCCTTGTGATGGTGAATGATACAATCTAATAACAGGAAGCAATAATGCTGGATCTGCTAAGAGTAATCAGCCACCACCGTGCCCGTCTGGCAACACCCATTCGCACTGTACAAAGAATCTACCGTAATGCAGACCACGACGACATCCCAATTTCCGACATCTTCAGTCATAACCGAGCTGCTGCTGCAAACCGCCCATTCCTACTGATCGAACCATCTTACAAGATCAACGGTGAAGATAAAAGCAAGCCTTCATCTCGACCCGGACCCGGACCCGGACCCGGACCCACCACCAACCCCAACATCGAAGAAAAAGACACCAAACCCATCATACCAGACCCAATCACAGATCCCAACCCAAAACCCTCAAACATGGGACCCAGTCCCATTGGGTCAGCTGGTGGTAATAGTCCAAAACAGGAGGCTGAAAAGGCCAGGTCAGCATTGGAAGATAATATTGTGTTAGGTGTGGCTTTAGAGGGTTCCAAAAGAATGCTGCCTATTGAGGAGGATGAGATGGGACCCCCTGCACCATCATCATCATCGGAGTCGAAGGAATTGGCTAGCTGTTTAAATGGGGGTGGTGCACCGCCTAGCAAAGACCAGAAAAGTGATGCGGGTAGCGTGGGTCAAGGGACCACATCATCAAACGAACAAGAAAAGAGGTGACATCTGAATGTGTTTAGAAATGTGACACGAGCTGGTTTTTAGTAGGCTTGCATCATCGTTACTTGTATTTATTATATATAAAAAGTTTGTTGTATCCATTAATTTCATGCATGTATGTGCTTGCCAATTCCTCAGTTAGGAATAGGAAGTGAAAAGTAGAAAGGCAAGGAGTTCCATTCATATGATAGAACTTAGTAAGGGGAAAAATGAAAATTTGAATGTCAAGTTTGCATCTCCAATTCTTTTCATTGTATTCATGTTAAGTTAATTTACACCAGAGAATAAATTAATGACACATGCAATCGGGGATGGGATATGTATATATGGATTGTGTCTCCTTTCTCAACCTAATCTGGCCTTGTCTGTTCTTATGCCCGTTTTCCACAGCCTGCTGAAACTCAGACCACTCCATGGTTCCATTTAGAAAAAGCTGACTCAGTAACACCATGTTGGGTCTGATAGTCTTCATGTTCCTATAAGCTCGGTACCCTAGCTGAAGAAAACAATCAAAATTCATTCATTTCATACCATGTCATGTCATGTGTTTTTAACTAACTCAAAATACACTTACAAAATACATACATGGTGTTAATTAAGTGTACATAACATACCATTGCATTGTGCATATTGCCAGGGGAAGCAGAGATGAAGATGTCTGTGTGCATGCTGACATAATAATCAACTGCAGCTAATAACGACGCCTTTCCTTCCACTTGAGCGCGTTCTTTCTCAGAGGCAATGCTTTTTTTATCCTCCATAAGCGGAAACATTTTCCTCAGTGTTGAGATCCTCGCTTCACCACCATAAACCTTTTTTTTTTTTTTTTTCACAAAAGTAAAATGTCTTGATAAGAAAAATAAAAATCCAAAGTATAATAAGAATACCTTTTTAATGGGTGAGAAAGGTATTCAAGATTATTACCTTATGGGATGCAAGATAGAGGCGTGTATCATTATTGAATCCCAATGCTCTTAATGACAATCCAATCTCTTCAGGAGTCAATGGACATCTTCCCTGATGTCTCAACTCCTCATTACTAAACTGTGTCTTAACCACTCTTCCCTGCCAAATCACTTGCCTATACTTTGCAAGAGCCAACTTCTCAGCTTTCCCACCACCAAAATCACAAGCCGAATGCGCAGCCATATCCTGTCCAATAAAATATCACAAAAGACGTGAATACCCTCCCAATATATATATATATATATATATATATATATATATATATATATATATATATCAATCCAGTCTCATGTTAAAATATCATGATAGAGAAGGGTAAAAAAGAAGGAAACATACTTTGTCAAAGCGGAGGTGTAAAACAATAAACTTTCCATTTCCATTTCCATTTTCGCCCTTGGTTTTTGTAGTGGGAGAGGTTCGAAGGCGTTGAAGAAGGGTGTCCCCAAGTGTCCTGATGTGGGGGACAAAAACTAATGCTTCAAAGTTGACTTTACATCTAAGAAGTTGGATCTCTTTAGGGAGGTTATCGAAAGCTAAACGGTGTGAAAATGGAGCAATGGCAGCAATCCCATGACTGAAACAAATATAAAATTTAAAAATCAATATCGCCCTTGTGGTATACTGTATTTTTCAGGTTTAGTCCCTGTGGTGATATATAAGGGTAGAATCGTAATTTTACCAAACTAACAGATGGGTAAAAGAAGGATCATGACAAACCTATTTAGCATTGGAAGAACATTTTCCAAATACCAATTAGCAGAAGCATGAACAGGGGCTGTTTTGATTCTAGTAGGTCGTATGCCTGTTCCATAATACTCCCTTGTGCTCCATGAGTATTTGCTGGGAACCTCTTTAACTATGGAGACTTCATTTTTCAAGACATCAATAAAGTGATCAACATCAAATATATCCGTGAAAGAACTGCACATAATATGCACTTTTTTTTGTAAGTTTTGTGAGTTGAGACCTAAATAAACAGGAAAAAGAAGCCAATATAGTGGAGCTTTATATACCTTGAATCTTGCCACACAGGATTTACTTCGAGGTGTGGGATTACCAGTGTTGCGTTTAAGATTTTAGCAACAGCAACTGCATCACAAATCTTTTGGACAAGAGAATTTTAGAGAAGAAATACATGATAAACAAAATTAGTTCTGTATTTTTCCATAAACATATGATCAATTTTGTGAATGTTAGTTCTTATGCTTGTTTGTGTGTTCAAGAGATAAAAGAGCACTAACCCCCATTCTTTGCTGGTTCAATCCTCCATCTAGAAACACCTGAATATACCCCTGGGATTTCTCTGAATCGACTTAAAAATAAAATTGTTATTTAGATTAAAGAATGATTACAGTTGATTAGACCACTTAAGGGGCAAAAATGGAAAGATAAAAACTGAAGAGGCTCAGAACTTATATAACTTACATGGGATAGTAGCAGAGTCTAGACAAGGCTTCCACCCTTGGTTAGGCAATGGAGACCAGATATCAGACTGTTGTTTCTCAGACTAGAAATGGAGGAGGTATTTGATTACATATATGGTAAACTTTGAGGTGAATTGCTTATAAATTTCATTTGTAAAAAGATGAAGTTAGCACCTACTCACAATTTGTTGATGCAAAGCACCCTCTAATAAATGAATGTGCTCAGGACTTGGAGCATTCCATTCCTACAATAAGAAAGCCTCTTTATGAAACACAGCAAGAATCAATCTAATTAAATGGTGAAAAGAAAGAACAAAGCAACCAATTGAGGATGATCGCTTCTAAAGTCATATACTTCCTCCAAATATATAAGACGCCTACACATTGTTTAAATTTCTCATATAAACACTAAGCCCTAATCATGGATGAATTAAGCAGCTTGACAAAAAGAAATGTCTCTGAGGTTATCATGGAAAGGAGGCAGCATAGATACACATCTATAGAGAGTAGAGACAGAAACTGTACCGAAAACATTGAAGGATAAGCACGTCCCAAAGGATCAAAGAGATTAGGGAAGAAATTGGGGAGAAGGATAACGAAAATTCCAGCGAAAGCAGCTCTCTGTGACTGGGTTTGTAAGTACTGAAACTTCATCTTCCTCAATGCGTATTTGCGAATCGATCAACTTCAGATCGGTGAGAAAATGTAGCAGATATTAGATTAGTAGTAGTAGTGTTTGGGTTATGAATTGGAGAAATCTTAGTCGACTTTCTTGATCCAATATCCAAATCATACACTACAGTTTTACTACCGACGAGATGCAGGAGCACTAACATATGCCTAAAATTTGCTGTTTTTTTTTTTTAGGTTGATTATGTAAAAAAACCTAACTTTTTTTTTTAGACTCAAGTTATTTTTTCAGAAAAAAAAAAAATTACTCTCATATTTTATTAGAATTTTCATTTTTGGTTATTTATCCTTTTTTATAGGTAATCTTCTAGTAATACACAAGGTTTTATTTTTTTTTAAATTAGAAAAAATGAACATTCACAAAAGAAAATTTCAAATGATCAAAAAGTTCAAAAATAAAAATAAAACTAAAAAAATCAAATGATACGAGTAGATATCCACAACAGAGGGGGGAAGATCTCGTCCACCCCGCAGTTTTGTCTATAGTCTTGCCATTAGTTTTTGTTGCATCTTTCTCTCTCTTGCTTCCTCTTTTCCCAACATTGAACAATCATTTTTTTAAATTCGATTTTTTTTTAAATTTTTTTATCTATAAATAAAACTACACAACCTTAATTTACAAAACTTCAATCCAATTCTTCTATTTTTCACATTTTTTTTTTCAAAAAAACTCTCGACATGTTTTCTTTCAACAACCTATACAACCAAAAAAATCCTCTAGAAACCCCCAACCCCAAGATGATCTTATGATCAATAGGAGATTTATTTGTCTCCGTTTTATCACTATAGCGGTATGCTATTGTATTATCCGCACCAATTCCCACAACGATCAACACAAACATAAACACAAAAACAACCACAAACCGTACCCGACATGGATTTGAGTTTTTGTCTCAACCAGACTTGTTCAAGAAACTCAAACATCCATTTTCGATTCCGATACCGAACCCGAAATCGTTCGCGAAACCCAACCCACTCAACACCAAATAAAAGAAAGAGAAGACGGCGGCCAAATGATGGGAACCCAAAGAAGTGTTAGTATTGTCACAATCATGGATTGATATTTCAGAAGATGCGAAGATAAGAAAAGACAAAAAACATGACCATTTTTTGGAGGCGGGTTACAAAAAGGTTCCACAAAGAAACGAAGCTTCCAAAGTATCGTGTAAAACAACAAATCTACTCCAAATGGGGAAAGACAAACAAGAAAGTAATGTTGTTTAATGATTTGTATAACAACATAAACGTCGATGGAAAATTAGAGAAAATGATGAAGTGATTTTAAAGAAAACTCTAAAAGTGTACCATCAAGAAAATAAGAATGCGTTCTAATTATTTTTAATCGGTTGTGTGTTTTTTTATGATTGTAAGTTTAAAATTTCTAGTTATTTTTATTTTCTAAGTATGCAGGACTTTTAATTTCATGTTATGTTTTTAATAAGTAATGAAATGTTATTTTTTTATTAAAATTGAAGCTTTTATTTAAATTATATTGTTAAAAAAAAAAATGTGGCACACTTTTGTGATAAAAACTATATGGTGGAGAAAAAAGTGTGGTTTTTATTTTTTATGACATCACCCCCTAGGGTACAAACTCATGCAACTCATGACCATTATATGTTACCTTCCATGAGCTTTACATTAAAAATTGTAAATTTAGGGTTTGATACAAGAGTTTGTATTTTACTCTGGATAGCTATGTATATACATAACTGATCTGGATGTTAAATTAAAACTGAATATAAAGTATTATATCTTTGCTTTTAAGTTTTAATTATATTTTTATTCATAATAAACTCATCCCAAAATCTTTTTTGATTAATCTTCAATTCAAATAAACGTGACGTGCCACATAATATATACATATGATTTGTAAACTTTAAAAGCATGTTTACCATTTCCATGAGGGAGAAAACTGAAAAGAATAATTTTTCATCATCAAAACACGTTAAACAATCTATATTTCTTAATCAAACAAATAGACCATTCCAAGATAAAAGTGACACCATCTAAGTAACAATATATATGCGTTTTGAGTTTTGAATGTGCTTTCTAATTGCTTCTACATATCTCGACTCTTCCAAAATAGACCCTAGATTCAATTACAAGCAGACCCACCTTCAACAAACGATTCCGTTGTCCGAATCCTTTTGGCAGGATGCTGCTCATCCGATTCCATTCCAGACGACTCACCAGACCCAATACATCCGTTCGTTTCCATTTCCGTTTCCGTTTCCGTTTCCATTTCAGAACGATGATGTAAAGAGAAAGTAAGACCACCGACATCGGCATCGGCATCACAGTTTCCATCGAGCATCTCGACAGGATCCATCAATGGCAATCTTTGTTCGTCTCTTATCTCTTTGAAGTTGAGTTGTTCATCATTTCCATTCCCATTGCTCCTCCCATTCATGATTTCCAATGAATCTTCGCACCCAGAAATCGATGTTTCCGGTGATGTTTCAAACTTGTTTTGATGCTCGATATCTTGAGATGAATACTGCAAACCAGTGACTTCGGGTGTGATTCCGTTCTCTTGTCCGATTCCGATTCCGATTGGAGCATAAACAAATTCTCCAACACTGGTTTCCACATCTTCCTGTGTTTCAAGAAACCAATTTACACACCAACTTGGTTATACAAAAATGAGATGGGTCTAAATGACTGTTTTCCCCTTCCAAACAGAATAATAATTTATAATTTATAAATACCTGGATTGGTGGTACGAGGGAATTTTTGTAGCCATCAAATGTTGTCTCATTAAAAGAAGGAAACCGCATGCCCAAAAAGGATCCTTGGTCAAATCCGGGTTTTAAAGATATGGTGGGATCCACTTCCACATCACTTGTTATAGATAATGATGGCAACAATGAAATTTCAATTCCATCATCAGCATCTGCTGCTCCAGAAGTTTGACCATTTCTTGAAGGACTGTTGTGGTGTCTCTGCATCTCTCCAAAGAAATTGACAGCTGTTGTCGCGTTATTGGCAGCCATGGATGATGGAGCTTCAGCTTCATCGTAAGGTTGTTGTAGGAGATCATACACCAGTCTCTGGATAACCACCCTTTTCAAGGATGCATCAGCAGGTGGAAACCAATCCGTATTTAGCTGAGTCACATTCACAAATAACAGCTCACTTATATTATTCATTTTTACATAAATGGTCCCTCTGCTTTCTGAGTTCCGACATTTAATCTAAAAACACAACCTTTTTCAATTTTGGTCCTTATTTGTTTCCGAAGATATGAAACCTTGAAAAAAGGTTTCAATTTCTAATTTACCATTGATTTTAGTAATAATATAAATAATAACAAACATTTTTACTTACAAAGTGGACACTTTTTGTGATTTTAAATGGATTAAAATTAATCGGGGCTTGCTCCAAGAAAAGTTCTACATAATGGAGCAAGAATAAACCACAGTCGAATGAATTCGGCTGCTGTGGTAACTGCAAAAACAACACAAAATTCAGATTTTAGAATTTAATACAAATTCACAATTTTGCCCTCATATATTTTTCCTTTTCATTTCTCAAATATTTTTGAAACATCATTTATCCAGATAATACCTCAAGTGAAATAAAGCGTAGATTATCGAATCTTGAAGATATATCTTCAGATGCCTCCTGCTGCCTCCCTTTCCACTCTTCTTTCAGATAGCTAGAATGGCATATTTAAAGGTTTATAATTTAAAAATAAAATAAAATGTTTATATAGTAAAAAAACTGTTACCTTTGCATAAGACCTTTCAAGCCAGTATGACTACCTCTGATAGGATCCATATGCAGAACACATGGCACTTTAGTCCACTCAGTTACATCTTCTTCATCTATAAACCAGATTATGACATTAGAAAAAAAGGGATAACCATGCCTCATAATATACATGAAGATGTCAAAGAGAAATGACAGATATACCCTTGTATGTCGCGACTTCCCCAAGATGACACATCACAATAAGACTCCAATGATAGCTGTCAAACAACAGACAAAATTGTCATCTTGCTCAAACGAAATGTCTAGAAAGCAAACTGATTTCCAACTTACTTGTAATTTACAGGAATAAAGACAAAATCTTTCTCAAAAAGATTAACTTTTCGTGTCCACTTTCTTACGCGTTGAAAAGCTGTTTTCCCTTCAAGGGCATCAAGAGGTTCTTTTTCTGGGTCAGCTAGCTTCCGGAAGAAAAAACTATTGAAAAAATGAAACCTCTGTCTCTCTTCAGGCCTGATTTTGTTCTTCAAGTATCTGTCATCAGGTAGAAATTTAGAATACAATTTCATATGTAATGACTTCTAGTCTGATTTAAGTTTTTATATTTGTAATATGGATTGTTATGAAAGTAATTTATTCAATCAAATAAGTAAGATAAACATACTTGACATAAAAGTCAATGATGGTGTCATTGACAAATGTGTCTGGTAGCAGCAAATCAACATCTCTCTTACTAATGGAAACAGCATCAACATCCCCTTTTGGATATATAACTTCTTCAAAAGGCTGGTCAAAGCTGCAATCATCCAATGAAATATAAAATCCAAGAATCAGATAATGATGATAAGGGCAAAACAGTCATATTTATTAATTTAACAAAAGGGCTGTTAAAGTTAACACAAGGATCAAAATTGATATGAAACTTTGCCAAAAGAAATCTTTTTGCACTTACTTGGGAAAATACTTTGTAAAAGGTGCTTTGATTTGTCCAAGAACAGTGTCCCTGCAACAAGTATACCAAGTTACTTAATTAAGATTCAAATAAATGACTGATTTCATGAAATAAAGATCAAGAATGATGATAATTCAAAGGATAAAAAACCGAAAATTCAAAGATGTTGTTGCCAAGAAAACTCACTCTAACTCAAGCATACTGCTCCATAAAGTTTTGTATGCAACATTTAAAGTTGTGATTGCTTCTTGTTTCCCAAACCAGTTGGTGCCCATAATTGCAAACTTCAACTCAGTCCCTGAATTACATAAAAGAAGAATCACATAAAACAGACGTATAATTATTCTTTAATTGAAAATTGGACAAGTAAAACAATATGAAAACATTTTCACAAAAAAATAAAATAATGATTATCTAACCTGAAGTGCATTCAACATTTTCAGGCTGTAATGTATCTTCAGTAAGTACATGAATGGTCACCATTGCCATCTCAACCTGCATAAAATTCAAGGTACAATAATTCCAAACCCTAAAGAATAAGGAGATACA